TTTTTTCTGTGATGTTTCTCTGCTTATGTATTGTGCTCTCCTGCATCTCCACAGGTTCATTCAGAAGAGCAAGGCTCTTGTGGCATGACGACGACTAACAAAGGAAATAAAGCCTTGAAGGTAAGCAGGTGCATGTTTCAATTTTATTTTAGTTATACAGGGTAAGCTGTTGGGTAAGTTAAAAACCCTACAATATTCTAGAGAAATGAAACGATCAGATGGTTCACTAACAGCAGGACTTGGCAACTTTGGGAAGAGACAACTCTCTTTTAACGGGAGACCTCTAGCAGAACCAGGCCCAGAAAGGAGTAGACATCTGCCCTTAAAGGTCGGAGAATGACGGGAAAGAGAAGAGAAAAAAGAAAAGGACACAGAGCCCATAACAACATACGGGGAAAAACACAAAGTAGTAGATTAAAGATAATGATATGCAGCAGTGGCATATAAATGCATGGCAGTGGGAAGAAGTGCTCAGGTCACGGGAAGTCCCCAGCAGCCTGAACCTATGACGGCATAACTAAGGGATGCTGATACACCAGTAAATACTCATTTCATATTTATTCACAATGACATTTATATTGAAAGGGAAAAACCCCAACATATTAGAGAGACAATCCCATATGAGGTGGTGATGGCAGAGAGGAAGAACGCCTTTTAACAGGAAGTTGACTGTGGCAGAACAAAGCTCAAGGAGGGGCCGTTATCTGCTGAGATTGGGTGAGGGGAAAGCAGAGAAAAAAGGAAAGCATCAAAATCAATACCCCTATCCCTAATGGACAATTTTGTCTTCTTATGCTTCTCCTTTAGTGATTACCTACCCCAAACTCAGTACAGTTTGAGGTCAAAGATCAAATGAGAAAAGAAAACTTTCTCAGAGGACCGCAGAATTTAAAAAATGCCCATCTGAAGCCAAAATGATGCTAGAAGGAAGGCACACCTCTAGGGCTTTTTGAAATGCCTCTGGGCAGTCATTTTAAAGGATTATGTAAATGAACTTGAATTTAAATAAGCAGATGGGAAGGTGAGGAGGGAAAAGAAGAGACAAAAAGAGAGCGCAGAGATATCACAGACAAGGAGAACAAAACACAAACTACAGAGTAGAGAAGAAAAACATCATTCACATGTTGTAGCGGGATAAACACACGAGGCATGAAAAACATATGCTCAATGCTGGGAAGTCCCCCCCCAGCAGTCTGACTCTCACGGCATAACTAAGGGATGGTTCAGGGTCACCTGATCCAGTCCTGGGATGTGGGAGCTGGTTACATGGGAGAGGGACCTCCTATTCTACTTCTAAAAACTCTTCTTTGAATTTATCCAAAATAAAATGACTAAAACCATTAAACACAACCTGTGACAAAATAATTAAGCATCTAAATGTAATTGAATAAGGAGCTTGAAAAGAAACACACACACGTGTGGTATTCATATCTTGTGGGGACATCGAATTGACATAATGCTTTCCCTAGCCTCTCACCCTAACCCTAACCATCAAAAATGAATACCTAAATGAGTCCCTAACCCTTACTAATCCTTACTAGCCCTTACTAAAAAACATTTTGACTCTAAAAAATGTCTTCAAACTTGTGGGGACCAGGATTTTGGTCCCCATAAGGGCTGCTGGTCCCCACAAATATAGTGAACTTCCAATTTTTGGTCCCCACAAAGATAGGAATACATAGTCTCTCTCTCACACACACACAAAGTCCTCTGCTGCTTGTCCAGGACGTGGTGCAGAGGGTGATCCGGGTCCATTTATGTCTGTTGCCATTCACCACAGTCATCTGCTGACCTCTGCATCAGCTGATGGAGGAATCCAAACTGTGATGATTAAATCAAAGTTGAACCCTGAATTCATGCAGTAATGAAGGGGTTTTTGTTTTTTTGTTTATTAAATCTTTCCAATGCTGCATGTACTCATTTGTGTTTTTGTACAAGAAATATTTTCCCATTTTAAAGCATGACAAAGTCTACATTTGCAGGCTTGAGGGTTTGGTGGTGGAGGGAATGACTTCACCTCTTAACTGAGGCCTGAGTCATCATATGTGGTAACCCTAACCCAGTAGTTTGGAGAAAGCAAAACAGTGCATGGTAGGATGATCATTTTCTTTGTTCCCTGATTGTCAACACTTAGGATAACAATTTAATAAAAACTCCAAGGACCTGAGTTTGTTGGGGTTAAGCTTGGGTTCTTCGGGATTTAGAAATCGGTAAACCACAAACCACTGTTTGAAATGTGGATGGTTAAATCATGTCACAGATTTAACACGTGAATTATTTTCAATATGTTGTTAACCAAGCCACCTTTAATGGTAATTAAGTTTAGAGAAAGGTCATGGTTTGGCTTAAAACACAACAGCTGCCACTTCTTCTAAATCTCGGTTTTCTGGGTTGGCAGGGTGACACGTGGCCACTGAAGAGTCTGATACAGGTCTGAATGTTTAGGCCACATAAACATTTCCTGGCAGTAACAGATAATGTGAGGCCTTAAAGGTGTCAGGCGGGGCTTTTTACAGTCAACTCATTGCTGCTTTCTCTCTCTCACTTCTCTCTTTTTCCTGTGTCCTGCAGGTGAAGCGTGAGCCGGGCGAGAATGGCACCAGCCTCACAGACGAGGAGCTGGTGACCATGTCGGTGCGGGAGCTGAACCAGCACCTCCGAGGGCTCACCAAAGAAGAGATCCTGCAACTGAAACAGCGGCGGCGCACCCTGAAGAATCGTGGCTACGCCGCCAGCTGCCGGGTGAAGCGTGTCACCCAGAAGGAGGAGTTGGAGAAGCAGAAGGCTCAGCTGCAGCAGGAGGTGGACAAACTGGCCAATGAGAATGCTTCGATGCGCGTTGAGCTGGACGCTCTGAGGTCTAAGTACGAGGCGTTACAGACCTTCGCCAGGACTGTGGCACGAAGCCCCACTGTCGGGGTCGGGGTCAGGGCTGGAGGGGGAGGGGGAGGGGTGGCGTCATCGGTCATCGGTCCGCTCATCCCAGGGAAGGTGGCGACGGCGACGAGCGTGATTACAATAGTGAAGTCAAAAACAGACGCACGGTCTTGAGGGAAGGGAAGGGAGATGAAGGTGCATCAGGATGGAGCTTAGCTGCATCTGAGTCAATCTTCCCCTCTGCCGGACTCCTCCTCCATCTGCACTGACAGACAAACAGCCGGGCGGCCTCGCTTGCATCGCCACGGCACGCTCCTGTCACGTCATCACTTCTGATCAGTGCAGATGAAGGAAAGGATGGAAGCGGAGGAGAACTCTTGTACCAATGCAGGACAAATACACAGGGTTCCTATGGGCACTGAAGACCCGGAAATCCCAAATGATATGAAAACTGTCTTATTCCTGATCAAGAAAATAATCTGACATTTGTAAATACTCAAAATGAGAAAATTCCAACAGTTTTTATTTGGTTTTCGGTGCTCAGTGCTGGTGAAGTAAGTACATAATAACCATGTCACGAATTTGCACACAGATTTGAAGAGGTGCCTGATCGAAATAAAATGTATAAAACTGAAATTTGGTACATCATCAAACAATACTAAACACATACGAGAATCAGAGCATTTATTCTTGATTAGTTCTATGGAAATCATTGAAATTTAATGTGACCTGCTGATTTGAGTGGCTGCAGAGAGGCCCCATCTTGTTCCACCTAGCCAAGAACTTTTTTCAGAAAAGTACTATAGAAGATATATATATTATACAATGGTGGTAACTGTATTTCTACTGTTTTGTACTGTGTTGTCATTCACATGAGGTCCAAGGTGTATTCTCTGTGTGTGAATTGTTATATATCAGGAATTCTGTGAAATTCTGTGGCGCGTGTTCGTTTTGGTATTGCTATATTTGGGTAGCTGTATTTTTACTTTGTTTTTCTTATGGTCTTTTTACTTTCAAGTCAGACTCTCGCGTTCTCTTACCTACTCTTTTCTCTGTCCTTCGATTTTTTCAACTCCAACTGGCTTCCATTATTACATGCAGTACTTCCTGAATTTTATGAAAGGAGGAGGGGAAAAGGAGGGGGCAGGCAATTAATATTTACCAAAACATATTATCGGAAAAGGAGATGACGTTGTTTAATTCGCCGACCTTATTTTAGTGTGGGAATTTTCAGGGAAATGGTCATATGAAGATAAAAGCCTCTTTGAGTTTTGCTTCAAAGTTTATTATTCAAGACATTTGGAAGGGCAAGTGCCTTTTTCTCCTAGTGATATGCATAGAGAAGAAGTCAAAAGGATAATTGATTAACAAATAATGTGATAACTTGTGGAAGGATGGTGGAGATTCAGTGTAAATGTGTTGCGTATGCTTGTGCTTTATAGCATAAACCGACCAATCAGGAGTCAGCTAGTGACAGCATTTAACTCTTCCCGTACACTGTTATTTAAGCTGTGTAATAGCACGTAATGATGATGATGATTATTAACAGTTATGTACCCTGGCAAGTCATTTGTTTAAAGTGGACCTATTCTGCTCGTTTGCGTCTCTATATGTTTATTCTTGGACTCTAGAGAAGCTTTGCATAAGTCTCAGTGCAAAATGATCCCTATTTATTCAACACTAGTCCTTGATGCAGCCCTTCAGGTCATTTCTGTGTCTGACATGAGCTGCTTTAGCTCTTCACCCTTTTAAGGCAACCTTCTGGTAAGCAGAAGGATTGACAATGAGTTGAGAACATTCAAAACATGGTTTCATAGAGTGGCTTTGCATGATTCAGAGTTGAAATAATGCTTGTTTATCTGATACTGGTCCTTTATGCAGCCCCTCAGTTCAGTTATAGCTCCATTCCCTTTTCATTTAGGCTGTATTCTGATTGGCTGCTAATCCTAAATAGAAGATCTTTGTCTGTACTCACAGTCCAAACTATGTCCCTGAAATTACCAGGGGAATCTGCTCTCACTGACATCATACAGGGCCAGAAGTAGAAAAACAGTCTAAAGCTGAGCCTTCTCGTCTGTGCGTTTCACTCACAGGTTGTTTTTTTTTTCTATTTGTTATTTGTCCATGATAATGTATACATATTTAGAAAGTAAGGAAAAGCACAATAGGTCCTCTTTAAGTGAAAAGAAAAAGGAAGATTAGCAACAACAAAAAAAAGAGCCTGAATTTTATTCTTGCTTTTTTTTTCTTTTCTTTTTTTTTGGTCTTGTTTTGGATTTTTTTTTTTGCATAAAATACATTTGTCGGTTATAAACAAAGTCTGCTGTAGGTTACAACACCTGCAGGAAAACCTTTGCCTCAAATCAGAGCAGTTTGGGTTGCACTTTTCTTTTCTTTTCTTGTTTTTACCCACAAAACTTACAACTGCAAACTGCAACTGTGATTTCTGACAGTGCAGTCAGCGGGCATGGGTGACAAACATTTCTCTGAATTTCACATATTTCACGCGGGCTTTACCATAAAAAGTAGTCTTACGTGGTGTTCTATACTTAAAGAATCTTTGTCTATGTATGGTGGAGTCTGGATTTTTATAAAGACAATTATCTTTGCATCGTTTGTAATGACATGTATAAAAAAAACAAAACAAAAAAAAGGTATAACAAAATCTGTTTGATATACAGTATCTCTCTATTTTGCAATTGTACCAAAAGTGGCTTAACTACTGAATAGCTTTGTTTTTTCTCTAGCTACTAGGCACGTGTGTGTAGCCGTGAACTAGTGTGTGGTGTGCTGTGTAGGTATGTGACGAGGTAATATAACGTTCCCTATTTCATGGATATGACTTTGATACGTGTTTGATTTCAGGCTGAAGCGGGTGATGACACAGTGAGTAACTGCACTCTTTCTCAAATCGTAAAGTCTTTGTCCTCCCCGGCCCTCATCGTTCAGCTCCAGCCCTGCAGACGTGTTAGATCATTTGCTAAACTGCACTTTGGCAGAGTTCACGTTGGCGACGTATTTCTGAACAGGCCTCCGTGTCTTTATTTTTGGTCTGTGCAGCCTGTTGCAGATAAAGTGACCAACGAGATGAGGAAGTTTTATGGTTAACCTCACACACTGCGTTGTGTTGTGTATTCAGGTCATCAGGCAAAGTAGCAAATATGTGAAACTCTGCTGAAGGCCTTTGTGGCTGCATCACACCCACTCCTTCAATAACTTATTTTTATAGTGTGTGATTAAAAAAATATTTTGTTTTTGTTTTGTTTTTTTTGCTTCTGTATTTTACACGGTTATGTGTATTTGACATCGTTCCAGTTGTATTTGTTTTTTGTTTGTTTTTTTTAACTGTTCTTGAAGTGTCAGGGAAGTGAAATAACAATTGTTATATGGTGTTTTATGAAGTGAAAAAAAAATCTATTCTGCTATTTAATGGTTTGTCTGTCAAAGAGTGAGGTTTACCTTTGAGTACAATTGCCTCAAATATTTTTTAACCTGATTTTAAAGCTGAAAGAGAAGCAATTTACACAGATGAAAACATTACATACATGCAGCCTTTTACCTGAACCGCTACTTCTCCACTGTGAAGAAAAATGGGTTAGCTCGCCTACTGCTGTGCAGTTACTATGATAAGTAAGGAGTGTCTTCATCTGTACAGAAATAGAAGTCAAACTGGTGAACAGTGAAAAAGGCGCAGGAGGATAAATGGGTTTGTGATTGAAAATATTTTTTCTCCGTAGTCTTCGAACGGATAAACGTTCACACGTTCAGTCAGGCGTGAAACCAGAGAGCTTCAGATGTCAAATGAAAATCACTTATCACACCTAATGGTATTGAGCAACAAGCAAATTTCAGTATCTCATACAGTGTATTAACGTGTTTTCTCCATATTAAAGAAAACGCCCTGTTTTGTACGTCCTGAATGCCGTTATCTGAGTTTTAGAAATGTATTCTGTCCCTCTCCATCAGTCTGCTGCTTCCTGCCTGTCTCACTGATGTTTTTCACTGGCCAGCTGTGCGTGCATGCATGTGTGTGTTTCTGTCTAGCCATCTTTGTGAGGACCGAAATCTGCATTCTACTATACTTGTGAGAACCAACAGTCACTTGTGAGGACACACACCAAATTCGAAGGCCTTTATGAGGCTCAAAATGTGGTTTTAGTGTCAGGGTTACAACTAGGTTATGGTTAGGTGTAGAGAAAGTTTGGGGCTGCTGGATCATCCAGACTCTCCTTTAAAGTTCCTGTTAAGCTTTTCTGCTCCTCTTCTCCTTCCTCCGACGGTCATCTTTGGCATTGTACTGTAGTCCATCCCTTCTGACTAATTGATCCATGTATTAAGCTATTGTGGAGATATTCAGCTTTTGAGCTAACAGAAAGAGTGGTATCTATTAAAAAATCAGCTAAAAACATGATATTAAAGTCAAAAAGGTAGACAGGTCCCCCTAACCCTGTGTGGAGTGGATTTAGCCTCCACAGAACACTGAGTCTTTTAGTTTTTGTGCTTTATTTTGTGCTCTTAAATCAATTGTGAGGTCATTCACTTTTTAGTATTTATCAATATCCACACAATTTTCTGTTAGTTTCATAAGTAACACTTTATTTACACACTCTATAATATACATGCAGTCTCAGTGGAAGGGGAACCTGTCTAAACCATCCGATATCAATATAATATTTTTTTTATATAATTATTTTAATATTTTAACTAAAAAATTAATTATAAACCTTATTTCTTACACTAATAGAGCCTTGTTGTTTTTTTTGTTTGTTTTGTTTTTTAGGGTTAGGGTAAGGGGCTAGGGAAACCATTATGTCAATGAAGGTCCTCACTAAGATAGCTGAATGGGCTTGTGTGTGTGTTTGTGTGAGACATCATATAAAACAAGAGGAAACTCAACTTCTGTTGAGACTGTAAGTTTTGTCAAATTGTACAATTACGTGTGCTGCTTCTCTGTGTTTTTATGCTCCTCTGGTTTCAAAAAAGAAAAAAAAAGAGAGAAGCATTCTGTGTAAACATTAACGTGTCAACATGTGGCTGCTGTTAAATAGACACATCTAATTATGCAAACCGGCAAAATCCAAACTCCTGCCTCACAGGAGCACTGACGCTATCGTAGTCGTTTGTCAAGTTGTCTGTTTTCCTGACTGTACAGTGTGATGTGACGAGGTTAAAGAGCTAATGTGCGGTGTTTAGCTTCTTCTTCTTCTTCTTCTTCTTCTTCTTTTTAAATATACCTGGTAAATTAAAATGTCAGCTTGCCTCTGTTTAAATCTGGCATATGTGGTGTGGCTTACCCACTTTCACTTAGCGGTTAACTGTGAAAACACAAAGTCTTCAAATTTATTTATTTAGGATTTTTATGTATTTTATTTATTTTTTTACAGGGATGCACCATTTTTATTGGCAGATATTGGCTTCAACTCCCATCAGTTTAATCAACAAATAAGACAGCATTCAAAAACTGCAGCAACTGATGTTTGTTTGTTGTGCTCCATCAGTTTGGTGTCCATTTCTAGCTCCGAATGGGTCTCTCACGTCCAGTCAGGTGCATATGTGTCTGGACGACACTTAGAATACAATATTTTGTTTTCTGAAACTAATGATGGCTTCCTTCGCTTAGATTGACACGTCTGTTGACCCTCATATTTAGATTTCAAGAGAACAGCAACCAAATGCAAATGCAACAAAACCACTTCAGACCTCAATGAGGCTTCATTACAAAAGAACTGGCATCACCTGGCCATAAAACTGTTCCTCGGTCAATAACAGTATTGGCCTGTTATTTTTGGCCATTTAATAAACAAAAGTACACTGTGTGTTTTTAGTAACTCAAACCCCCACTTTAGATGAGTAACGGACTTGTAAGCAGTTTATCTCTTATGTCATATGAAAAAGGTTGAAGTCTTTTACATCTGATATTCAGATATTTGTATTTGTAGAGAATCCACGTCAACATTTGTTTTAAAATTTGTGTTGTTAATAAAAATATAAAGGACAGTAACTACAATGAGAGACAAACAAAAAAGAGAGTGAGAGGACTACAGAGTATAGCAGCGATGCAGTAATACAGTCACTACAAAAAAACAAAGCAAGATTTAATTAAATTCCACAAAGAACATCCAGCTCCTCTCAGGCTTGTAGAACTGCAGCAGCCTGTTCCTTTGATAAGTCCATAAAGTCCTCAAACCGCTTCACCTTACTGCAACACGTTGTTGTTTCGAGTTTGTTAAAATGATTTCATTTGACTGTGCAATTATTTCAGAAGCAAAAATGTGTTTCAGAAACCTAATCTTAACCCTAGCTGAGTCACCAGTGAGGTTAAACATTGTTATCTGCTTAAAATTTCACAACTGGTGCATTCTTGTGTTTTTATTTATTTTATTTTTTTAATCAGTTTCTAACCGAGGATGATGCAGCCGACATCCAAGGCGTCCTGCTGACCTGTCGAGTTCTTATTTTTATCTTCCACATTTAAACGTCTTGTGGCGTTTCCAGTGAGAAACCATGTGCCAGATCTCTAAACAAACAAAAGGTTAAACATTACACAAGTTTAATCCAGATTTTCACTCAGCAGACACGGTCAGCTGACACCTCAGACCTCCTGTGATTGTCAAGCAGGGCGGCGTGGTGCCATTTCATAGCAGAGTTTGAGCTGTTTGACACGCTGACCTTATTTTTTGCCACCCCTGCAGGGGTCGAACCCTCGCCATAATGAGGCTTTTCATCACAAACCCTAAAACAACCACTCAGACTACATCTATAAATATTTTACAGAGACAGAAAAGGAGTGGTGGAGATGCGTCTGATAAAGCTCTTAACCATTTACCACTCTACTTATTCTCTCCTGCTTTAGTTAACTCAGCAGCCTACCAAGCCCTTCTTCAAAACCCACACTTCTTCCAGAAGATGCAAATCATTAACTCCTTATCTTGCTGCTTGGCCAATCGGTATGCAGGCATCCAGTGATTTTCCTGTGTAGTGAGTCACGCCACTGGACTCTAAAAGCCCTTTCACCCACCGCTGATCCTGATCGATAGGAGTAAATGAACCAAGGATTCCTTTGATCATTTTGTTTGGTGTTTGCATCAATAGTGATGTTTGTTTTTTTGCGTCCCAGGTTCATACCCAGCCTGCATCAAATGTACAAAAACAATAATAATCGTACAGAGTTCAGGTATCAGCACATTTAAATTAGTATTTATTTATTTTTATTGTAGCAGTGTCCCCGTCAAATTTGACTCTTGATGCGAGCATTCAGCCAGGTTCATCATGGGATTTTTTATTTTTTATTTATTTTTTTGTGTTTCTAAATCTTACACATGGAAACACAGTATAAATAATGGTCCGTTTAAAGCCTTTGAAAAGTAGTGAGTTTGTGTGAATATGGTGTAACCTAATCAGAAAAGCCCTTGTAATAGGAAAATCTGTGTTTTGTAATATTTCTGTAAGGGATGTAATAAATTATTCTATGGCAGTACTTTCTATGGGAAACTACTTAAAATGTGACAGTCTTTGTTAGTATTTATCTTCCAATTTAAATTATTGTCTTTTTTTTCTCTCTCTCTCTCTTTTTTTTTTTTTTTGCAATTTGTAGATAGTGACGATGACAAGGTATGGGTAATCACGAAATTAACTGTTTCATCATCGGTCCGATGCATTGTTTAATTTATTGATGTATATAGTGTACGTTTGTTGATAAACAGCTTACTTTATTTTGTATATGACCAATAAACATGTTTTAAAATGGAACGGTCTACGTGTTAGTCATTCATGAATCTTTAGTATTATTAGCATTTTTAAGCAAATATAGTGCAGTTATTATATAAAAACAGTGCGCACAGTGTCATCAATTATGTTGAATATTGTTGCATTATTTTGTTGCAATAACTGCATTGATTAGTGAAGACAGTTATGTACAGGGTTTAATGAGATCAAGCAAGCTTCCTAGGCAAAGCCTTTTGTAGTACTGAAAAAATACAGTATAATCAATTAAATTAAAGTTTATACAAAAAATAGTCCATATATGGAAAAACATAAATATAGAAAAGCATTTATGACATGTGTAACTATTTGCTGTACAGCAAATGAAGCAAAAAAAAAAGGAAGCAAAAAGTTTCATTTTTCACACTGTCTGTCTGTGTAAATGGGTCATGGTCGGGAATGGAATAATGAAGGAACAGCCCACAACTGGTCATGAAACTGCGCGACAGTCAACTGTCCCATTACTTTTGAACCTCTGTAAATGGATCACTGTACAAAAAAAATGTTTGTAAACTTTAGTATCTAAAATAGAGCACCTGTTAACCTTCATACACCTAAGCTGTGTACTTGATTACTTTATATATAAGATTATTTTACACTAGAACCATAACAAATATATATTCTTTACTTGTTCTTAAACCATTGAGCACCATTGATATACAGGAAAACTATTACACACACAAAATAACACTGGTTAGTTTAACAGAACAGACAGCTTTAATTGTAGTCCATCCATACACACTTGTTAATGCGATACTGCTGCTGCAGGTGTTTTGCTTTCAGTCTACTGCTCTGCTGCCAGTAAACCAGTCCCTGTGTCTGCTTGGTCACATGCTGCTGACGCTGCCTTTTTCCCCCCCAGGTGAACACCTGGATTGATATGGTTGAATTGCGGAGTTGATAACCACCTTCATGTTACAACTTAGCCTTACAGGTGCTGTTGGCTTAAGTAAATCTAGATAAGGAAAACATAAACTTGCTTTTTAGGACAGGGCCCTGGAAGAACAACAACAAGCAAATTTAGATTTTTAAATTCTTTGGATTCCAATTTTAATCGTAAAAATATTTAACCAATAAATAAATGCGAGCGTTGTATTCCCTTAATTCTCTTCCGTCTGACACCAAAGTATCTCCATACTTTTCTACATGTTTTTCTTTGGTCAGTCAGGCCTGTAGGGGGCAGTATCACGTTAGTCTGAGTTCAGTGAAAAGTAATTTCTTCTCATTATTTTTTTTAAGTATTAAATCCACTTCTTATACTTTTTCCGACGTAACGTTGTAGTGGCTTTCTTCCTTTCCCGTGAGATACTGTGTTTTTAAAGGGGGTGTTTGTTGAACCCTTGTGTGAATCCACTCCGGGTTTTCGGCGCTCTGTAACCGTCACTGTCGTTCTTTACCCGGTTGTTGCCCCGGAGGAGAGGCGGTAAAAATGTAAACATTGATTTCCCCCAGTGGACCTGGCCAGACTGTCTTTTGTGTTGCTTATAAGAGGACCAACAGTATAGCTGTAGCTTCTACCTTTGCTGACTTTAACCCAGTGTCTTCTTTTTTTTTTAAGTTTATGCGTCTACTTTTAAACGGTAACAAAAAGCAGCCAAAGCTAGCGTTATGTTAGCTAAGCTAGCTAGCAAACTAGCGTTAGCAAACAATAACTTGGTAGTAATTTTTTAG